CTGGGTTTCCAATATCTGTCCACCTAGATTCCAGCCCTTTCAAGATATTGTCAATTTCTCTAACTGGTCCCGACAGTTGTGCTCTCGAACAAGAGATAATGACATTTTAGATCGAATACTTACTAGTGTCATTGCACCTCTTTTTGTTGCTTTCAAAAAGGACCTCTTTGATAGTGACCACAGAGGAGCAGACTGAGAAGTTAATTTATTTGAGCGCGTTGGGAATTCAGGAACAGTTCGCTGTAAAGACCATCGCGGGATCCGAAATTACTCTACAGCTACCTCAGAAGAAGTTAAAGGAGTGGGCATCAAACCCTTCTCGTAAAAACAATCGCAGTCACTGAAATTGCTGAAAGCAATGATAAGGTTGTGTACTTTTCAGTTTTTTGATCTTTCTATACAAATGAGGCATAAGCACTGTGGAATTCTTTGCTGGCAAAGTTAGCGTATAAGCCAAAACAGATTTCGGTGTTTATACGGTACTATTGATAGAATAAAGTTATAATGAAAAAACGTACAAACCTCAACAATGGATCCCCTGGACAAAGAATTCCTTTGTTATTGTTCGAGCAGATCGAATTCCCAGCTCAAGGGCAGAATACAAAACTAGTTAATTAAAAGAACGCCGACCGCGCTCAAAAGAGGTAACGAAAGGGTAAGGGGAATGTCAACAGGGGCCAAATGTGGAAGCGCTTGAGAGGAGGGCGTGGAGAATCCCAAGCGTTGACCAGCTGGATACAACAAGCACTATACTTCATTCGGATAATCTTACTCGAAGAAATTTAAAGATATTTAACACATCTAATAATAAATAAATAAGCAGTTTTTATTAAAGACCCGTCGGAGTCCCATCAAAGCAAGTAAAAATAAATTTACATATGAATTTTAGACGAGGTATGCAGGATCTGTACAAAATGTAATTCATAGTTGCTGAATTAGTAGTCCGTTGAGAAAAATGAAGAGCGAGCAGTGAAAAAAACTCCATTGAAGAAGTTTAAAAAATGATTGGATTGTCGTTGCAGGGGAAAATAACTGTCGCATATACCAAGACAAAAATGCGGACAGGACTGGCCTGCATGTGGCGGTGCACCGATTATAATCGGATATCGTCAGGGTAGAAGTAAATGTCTGCCTTAAGGGGTACGTACGCGGGTCAAATAGGACTGGCCCGCACGTACGACTTTATAAGGGATTCAAAACGGACATAGTCAGGGCAGAATTGATACACTGGATAAGACTATTCGCGTCAAAGTGGTGAGACGAGAGGGACCCAGACGCGGTCGGTCACAGTCCGCTTCGAGCCCAGCCGAGGGGTGAGGAAGGGAGGTACGACCAAACTACTGGTTGACGGTGAATGCAGAGGGTTCCGCCGTGACCTAAGACAGACCGCTTGAAATCAAGACGAGGAGATGATATCAAGAACCGAGAGAATCATCGCTTTTGAGGAGGAGTGATAGCGGTGGACTTAGTAGCCAATAGAAAGCAGGGGATTATAAAGATATAAGTGGAGTTTCCTTTGATCTACCACTAAATCCCAGGAGGAACCTTCTCAAAGTCGATAAGCCGAGTGTTCGGGAATGAAACCCCTAAAAGTGCCTTTATACTTTCCGGTGTAAGGTTTTTGCGTGATTTCGACTTGAATACAAGTAACTTAGGCGATAACCTAATTTCTGTCGAAAGATTATTCCAACCAAAGGCATATTTGGAAGCAAAAAGAGGGAGCGTCTAGATGTAGACGGCGGCGGAATCACCATGGAGGAGTTATACGTGGCGTAAGACCGATCCCTCGGAGTGACAGTGTCAATGAGCGGAAGATTGGAGCTAGAGTTAATGCGAAAAAGGAAGCAAAGGCCAGCCTCGAGTTTTCTAACCCACTAAAAGTGTTCGCCAGCTGACATCTCTGAGTATAAGAAATACTGAGCGAAGCATGAGAGAACAGTTCCCGGGTGAAAACCCTCTGAACATTTTCGATCTTATAGCGGTCATAGGCGTTCATTAAACCAAAGAAATGGCAGCAGCATTCGAGGACTGGAAGAACAAACATTTGATAAAGTCTTAGCTTCATTTCCGGAAGGAAAAAGTTATGTGATATGAATCCACATATCTGTGCGGCTTTGGCAGAGATTCTATCTGCATGTGGTGATAAAGCAAGCTTATTGGTATAAATTAGACCTAGGTCCTTTATGGTGAGGCATTCTCAGAGTGGGTTTTTCTGAAAAAATATGGGATCAGGAAGTTTGGCAGGACCAAAAGACATGAAACTACACTTGGATGATGAAAACTCTACCTGGCATGTTGAACTTCATCTGTTTAAGCGCAGTAAATCAGGATCAATTTTTTCAACACAAACTCTTTTTATTATTCCGCGTAAATGTCTTCTTTCCTGACTATTGGAAAATATATATTATTATTCCAGTATTTAAGTCTGGCTGTCGTTCTGACGTTCAGTACCATCGAGGTGTCCATAAAACACCTTCGCTCGCTAAAACCTTTGATAAAAATATCGCCTCGAAAATAGCCGACTTTTGCATAGCCGATCAAGTTGTTAACCCTTTCCAGCATGGTTTTTTACCAGATTGCTCTTGTGAAACATTTCATTTGTCGTTTCTCAATCTGCTTACCTCTCTTCGTAATGACCATCTATCTGTTGTCGTTATTTATTTTGATCTTAGTAAAGCCCTTGATAAAGTGCCACATAAAAGACTCTTGATTAAATTGGAAGCTATGGGAATTCGCAGTCCACAATTAGACTTTCTCAGGTCATACCTGTCTAATCGTAAACAAAAGGTTTTGGTGGGATCTTCACTTTCCAGTGAAAGTCCTATTGTGAGCAGTGTCCTACAAGGTACCGTTTTAGGTCCTCTTTTGTTCTTGCTTTACATAAATGATATTTCAGCAGCAGTTAAACATTCTCAATCATTTATTTATGCTGATGATCTCAAATGTGTATATTCTTTCAATAAATCTACGAGCCTTCATTGCCTGGAGCAAATCCATGCTGACTTGCTCGCTCTCTCAGCTTGGAGCTCAAAATGGCTAATGGAATTCTCTCCGCCTAAATATCGCTATATTTGTTTTGGACCTGATAGGTTACCCCATCCAGGGGTCTTCCAAGGCACACTATGACTGAATGCATCACCATCAAGGATTAAGGTCTAAGATACAAAAGCAGTCTTGATGTCTCGCCACACCCTGACAGAATTACGGTCAAAGCTGCCCAGATTTGTGGCTTTATTTCTTACTATTTCTAGCTTTCTGAAATTAAATTAAGACTCTATCGAATGTTTGTACTTCCTATTCTCGAGTATTGTTGCCCATTTTTGGATTGATGAACGAGACTAGTCGTTTAAAAATTGAAAATGTTCAAAGACTTTTTGCCAGAAAACCTTTAGGCACGGTGCATCCAAATATCTCGTACTCAGATAGATGTCAGATAATTAACCGAACAATTTTTATGGGTTCGAAGACCAGTAGCAGGCTTCTGTATCCTCTTTCACGTTAATAATAGTTCAAATCTTCCTCGGATTTCAGCAGTAACCCCCAGTACTACCCCATACAACCTTCGCAACTCTTACCTAATTATATCTCCTCTCGCTTCCTCAACCTCTTACGGCTCTCTTTTGTTCGCTTCCAGGTATACTTTCGGGAAAGTTGATACCCTACTAACAGCACAGGTACTAGCCAAAAGCCCATACACGCGTGTTTCGATGATATTTTGCCACTGCATGGCGCATCTGTGAGGGGTTCGGCTCGGCAGTGGGTCCACCAGCCTTTCCCGTCTGCTTTCTGGTAGATAATCCAATTTACAAATTTTCGCTGTTAGTATGGTATCACCTTACCCTTAAGTATACTACTAGCTGCCTGTCGGCAGTTAATGAAAATTACGCAGTTATCCGCTCTGGCCGATGGACTTCAGCCCAAATATTAATGTATAAAATTCTCGGTCTGCGCCTATAGACCTTGAATACACTGATCTACTCAAAGTTCATATATAATTTCTGAGGAAATTAAAAAGCGACCAGTTATACTTTCCTCTGGAATAGCCTAGGCGGGAACACCAAACAAGTAAGAATCATGGCAATAATTTTTCTTGAAGACCCGTGGGGGTCCGTTCATATCAAGTAGGAATAACTTTTGCATTAATTTTAGGACAGGTACACAAAATCTATGGATCACTTAGTTCATAGTTACTAAATAAGTAGTATTTTAAGAAGAATGATGAGCGAGCAGCGAAAAAACCCTTGACATGTAAATAAAATTGGTATGACTGGATTAAAAACTATAGGAGAAAAAGACTGTCGCTCCTGAATGCATAAAAAGCAGGCAGGACCAGGCTGTATATGGCAGTGTATAACGGATTTCTTGAAGGGGTAAGTAGGCGTTTTGAATGCACTGAACTCTTCATTTTGCCGAATATTGTCTTCTTCTTTCGAGATGGGATTCGACCTAGTGACGGTAGCGCAAAGACTTCACATCCTCTTGCCTTGTCCCTACAGGAATTTAGCAATGATTAGTGTGCCTAACTAAATCCCAAATGAGAACACATTTTGTCAGGGAAAAATGACCCTTGGAAACCAGGGAGATGATGAGCCCATTTTAAATAACTAAATTTAGGGCGCGGAGTAAGGAGGAGATTACTTTTGCTTCACATGTTTTTGCGATTAGGAGTCTGTAGGAAATTCACGCCCAATTTTATGTTTAGAAAGCGTTTGTTGGACACACTCTGCTTCCAGCACAGTCCCTTATACGTATAATGACGAATCCAGTTTGCATTTGATGTCACGTTTTTCCTATACTTTTCTGAATAGGTCTTCATTTCTAAGGTTTTACGACATTAACGAAGGCTGATATTCAAGGCCGTTTGACTCTTAGGCCATGCATATTGCCTTGATATCTGATTCGTGATGTCAAGGTCGTCTAAGGCTTAGACAGCTGACATCGATCAACGCGCAATTTGTGAGGTCGTAGAGTGTTGCACGCTACTTACCTGTTATGATACAATGGCTATTGAAGAAAAAGCTAGCATCGACACTTTGCTAATTGCCGCAGAGGTTTTAGAACGCGACGTTATCAAATCTGGTAAGAAATACGATAATCAGAGCTTTCGAATTTCCTGCAATTTTAGACAAAAATTCTCGATCCAGTGGTAGAGACCACTACGCAGGGAATGGCCTTGGTGAGCAGGTTTTTCGATCGTAAGCGTTTTGGATTCTTAAGTCCATATTTTAAAATTTCTTAGAATTCCTTATCATGCTGAAACTTTCAAAAATATGGCAAATATGAACTGGCGAAATCCGGGCTCCGGGACTTTCCTCTCCAATTCAAGATCACAGGTACTAGTCGAACTTTTGTCATTTCTACAAATTACTTGATAGATGGACAAATATCTCTGAGTGTGTTCTATCTGGGTTCCGCCATATTCTTAGGAATTCTGAGTCTCCACAATGATGGTGCTCGTACCTAGTTATATTAACACTTGCATTCTCGGTGATCTAAGATGTTTCCTTCTTTACATACCTTGAAACTTTTTATGAGATTGGGGACTTCTGTCTGTCTTAGTTTACTGTGGTGTCCATCGCGAGAGCACATCTCAAAACTACCCAATTTACGCGGAACACCCCGCTTGCTAAGTTCCGCGAAGACGGACTTTTACGGTCAGACCAGGCCCAACCTTTACAACCTCCTATTGTTCACCATAAATTTGTCAGGATTTAATGTAGCTATCTGCCCTCTTTGCCTTAAAATACAGCACCATTGCCGTATTGTTTTTCAGCATGGACGCTATACCACAGTTTTCTACTTAGGAACTAAAAGTATAAATCGCCCGGCTGTGCATTTGTTTCCAGATTTACTCATCCGTTTTGGTGCGACCGGTTGAGCTTGGTCTTCTATTCCCTTTCTTCTTTTCCATAAGTTTTATTCTACGTCTACTCCGTTAATTGATCTTTTGCGTTTAACAGTTCCTTATAATCTTCTAAAATCCGTCAGGAAGACACCATGTGTACGGCAGGCCGAATGTATTTAACCCGCTATCATTGGGTCTCTAGTAGACTTGGTGAGCTACATGACCCACGAGGTGATTTGGACCAGGGACAAAAATCAAAATATCACCAGCATTTTTTGAATTCGCTCATTTCCGTCAGTTAATACAGAAATTAATTTCGTTTCAAACAAGCAGATTTTCTTTGAAAACCTCTCTAAGTCAGTGTACGACGCACGACATTCACATTCTTAGTGGTTGCTGGGAATAAGATCTGTACGAAATGCCTTCGTTCAACTGTAGAGTTTATAGAATTGGGCTCTTGAAAGGGGTTTTTCTTGCGGGCAAGTATTAGGGTTTAAGGACCGGCTAATTTAAGGAGTTGTGAGAAGCATTCCTGACTCACCTACCTGAAGAAATACTTTCAGAAGACGGGGCTAAAGCAGCCCACTCGAGCCTGTGTGACAATCGGGTGGTTATTGTTTTGTGTCTAACTTCCTCGTCATGTAACTGAATACTTCGTTTCCTTTACTGTGCTGTGTATAGTGTCGGATACGAATGCCAATTTAAAGTGCGCCATTTAATTTCTGGTCTGTTTCCATCTGGTCCATTAGTATTTCCTGTCCCAAAACCTTATTTCACACCGTTTTTTCCAAACGACAGCGTCGGTTTGCATGACGGGTCACCTTACATTCTGTCTATTGCGTTCGCGCTCTTGTACAAAAAAGTACCCTCCTCTTGAAACTGTCTGGTTACTAACTGTGAATGGTTGAAGTCAAAATACAAGTTCTTTCATCAAGTAAAGTTTTTCTCGCATAAATTTTCGGTTAAAACACTCCGTAATGCCTCTACATCACAAAGTATAAATTATGCCCATTGCACCACTAAGAAGACCGCCATGTTCGTGCCTTTAGAAGGCTTTTCGTGGTGTTTATGGCGGAAGTAAAACTCGATTTATGATCACATGCCTACACAGTGGCACTTATCACTAGAACTTACTTTCCGCGTATATACTGCTGCGTCTTCCGGAGGCTTTAGTAGAAATTTATTACTTCATCCCTATCTTATAACCTCGCGAGCCATGTTTTAGGGAACTTTTTGTGATGGCGCACCTCTGTCGTTCGTGTCCTTCCTTAGAGCCTTATTTTCTGGCCCTGTAGTATAGAATTAAACTTTTAAAGTCTTTCTCCACTTCTAATAATATTCTTACTCCAAGAGCTTTATAACCGAGACAAATCATTTAGATTGTTTTGGTATTCATTTTGTCTCATGTCAGGCTCCTGATGGGGCGAGTCGATTTTTGTCTCTCAAAGCATTCATAGCCAACATCTCATTCAGCTTTGTATGCAGACCTTAGCCAAGATGTGACCCCTATTTTCTCTAACAAGACAAGCTGAGACTTTAAAGGATGTATTCTGTGGCCAACCTAAACACTCGCATTTCTAACCCAGCTGTTCCTCTCGTTGGGATTTTTTAAATCTCTACCTCGCAAACGTCATATTGACGTTGAATTGGGCCGTAAACCATCGACCTGCTAATACTGATGCTTCAGCCCGTCTGGACCAGCTCTCTTTGGCATACGCAGGAGCTATCATCCTGATCTGCGTCAAGTACTTTCCGTTGCTGCTCGTCCTCTTAATTCGTTTTTTTGCGGGCGACAAGTTGTTATCGTATCCTTTGCGTACCAGTACTACGGTTTTACCCGATTTTGGATCAATATGTTCAGCGTTTTTTCTCTAATCTAGAAAATTGAAGACCATTGGAAACCAACCAACCCAGCTGATGAAATTGAGCCAAGAACACACTTCTGACACTTTGGATGGGGCTGGGCATGGAACTATGGACACCTCATATTATTGGTGATCTTGCTCCAGATTCCAAGGGTTAGGGTTGGGGCTAGTGTTAGTGTTAAGGTTAGTGCAAAACCTAGGGTTGGGTTTACGAAGGTTAGTGTTACGGTTAGTGTTGGGGTAAGTGTTAGGATTGGGGTAGACGGTAGGACACGGAAGTAGAAACCCCCAGAAATTTAGCGGGAAGTCGTCTGCAGTACCGGCAGGGGGCGTCTGTGTTCCCGTGTTCGACCTTGGCTTCTTCTTGAAATCCATGCTGTTGGCGTCGACTCTGGACCTCCGGTCTTTCGTAGCTAGTTTATTACGTTCTTCAGGTTCCGTTTTGTGGCGATCACGTCTGCCTCTATCGTTGCCTACTCTTTGAGGAGCATTTCTCAAAATACTCTTACTATTGCGAAGGCATAGTTTGTTGGAATATTTTCAGGTAAAAATCTACTTCCGAGTAAATTTCTCTTTCCTCTTTTTCTTCCCTATTTTTGGCTGTTACCTCTTGAATATTCGCTTCCGAACTCTTTCTGGAATGCCGTGAGCGCGATTATTGATCCTTCTACGGTTTATCGATTTTTTGCCAAAGTCGCGTGCCCTTGCCTCGTCCGCATGCCCTCTCAAGGTCACACAATTGCTCGGAGGTTAAATCGCACTCAATCATTGAGGGGTTTTACCGACAGGACAGACGGGCATACGCCACTTTTGTGATAGTGGCCGCTTTGCAGCCAGTGCCTAAACAGCTGCACTGACAAGCGATTCTGAATTCGCCCTATGGCGTAATTATGGCGTGTTTGTTAACTTGATTAAGGCACGCGTACACCCTCCCTTTTTTCAGTCGTTTGTTTAAGTTAGACTGCTGTTTCTTGACTGTGCACACAAAGTTGTGACTTTTTATCATATGCACGCTGTATATTCTGCCATTTCCTCCCACGCATTGCGACACCACTTTTGTTCTAAAATTATTCGATGTAACTATTTTCTAGGCTTATCCAGTTCGGTGTCTTTGGCGCCTTTAAGGCCTGCCCATGCACCAACCTGTAATTATATGGCCGTCTGCTTTTCAAAAGTCCATTTCTCGGGTTATTTTAAAGGTTATAAGTCCCTGATTGCCCCCTTAGGTCCATCCGAGCGCTGTCTGAAGTTAACCCTTCTTTAATATCTTCCTTTTCTTGAGCAAAACCCTGTCTGCCGAGATGGGGCGTGTGTTCAATCAGTTTGGTACAGAATACTTTTTGTTCTGCTAGAAATGTTGAATTTTTCCTCCTTTAGTTGACTACGGCGCCTTTTATGGCCGCAGCGACAGAGAAACGCCGGCACTCCGCCATCACACCACCCTACTTTGCCGTGGACGACCCCTACCACCAGTCCGTTGCTGCTGCTGCTGCTGCAGACCTCTCGAGTTTGGCCGCCGTAGGTGCTACCCTCCCCCAAGATTGGCTCAGATCTCTTTCCCCTCACCGCTCCTTCGCCGGTTCGAAGTGGGCTCAGCCCTCCGTCAGTAACAATACTCGGGCTGGAGTCCCACTGCCCTCCACATCCGCCTCCCTCTCCGGTGAGCCCCTTGTTTCCTCTCAATAACCCTGTTTTCAACTTCCCCAGTCTTTGGTCTGCTTTTGCTGAAAGCCCACTTACGTACGTACTGGTCATGTTGTATTTTGACACTCCGTTTGCTTCGCGGAACCTCTCGTTGGCTTTCGGTGATTTTGCTGTTACTAGATGTCCTGCAGATTATCTGCCTAGCGTTTTCAAGCCCGGCCAGTTTATCTTGTCTGTGTCACAGTTAAACCGAGCAGGGCCTCCGCATTTCCTCGCCAGTAAGAGTGGTAATAATAATAATAATAATCGTCGTCGTCGCCGCCGCCGCCGCCGCCGCCGCCGCCGCTGTCGCATCATCATCCTCATCATCGTCGTCGTCGCATCATCATCATCATCATCATCATCATCATCATCATCATCATCATCATCATCATTGTTGTTGTTGTTGTTGTTGTTGTTGTTGTTGTTTTTGTTTTTGTTTTTGTTGTCGCCATTGCCATTGTCATCACCACCATTACCTCAACAATCAATTGGAAGACTGATATGGCCATGGAAAAGTAATCTACATTGCACTAGGAAACTCATGGCCAAGGCAGAGTAGCAGTAACTAAGCAGACCCCTCGTTTTGAGGTTCCTAGCTGGAGATGAAGATGAGAGTGTGCCGGTGGGTCTGCATTTTCTGTGAGCACCTATGCGCTCACTGAAAGTGTTGCAGGAATTTTTACCCCAGCAACTCGACCCTCTCAATAGTGCCTCCACCACACTCCAACACAGGTGCTAAATAAAAGCTCAAACACTTAATTTTCCGATGTTTAGTTGTGTCGTGCTTCACGGCAACCCTAGTTAATCCTCAATATTTTTACCACAATACTCGCAAAATAGTCGGTGAGCATAGTTTGGGAAGATTAGACGCCGTTTTCAAATAAGCTGTCTGAAGAAACACTACCAACAGAGATACGGAAAATCAGAAGGAAACCGCATGTGGTTTGTATGCCCTTTTCAATAAGTTATGCCGACAGTTCGACCGTCGATTCCGACGACGTCCACCGTGTGCTACACAGTAAGGTGCAGCAGTCACGGTGACTTGCGCGTGAATTAGTTTATAGTGATAGTAGACTTGCGCAGCATCTACCGCACTCCCTCCTTCCCACTTCCCACCTGAGTCCGGTGTCAAGACAGAGTCAAGAAGACCGGAGACAGCGAGGGCGCAGTTGACTGGCACGGCCGGACCCGCACCTTGGCGTGCCACCACACTCCCTGGTCCACAACACACAACTGACCAAGATATTTCACCACCAACAGCAAAAACAACAACCACACCCCAACAGGAGTCAGAGGTACGAAGATGACTGGGCAGCCATGTTCACCATGTGTATACCCAGCGGGAGCGCAAGTGCATATACCAGATAGGGACCAGGTGTTAGGAAACTGCCAGCGCACACTAGGTTACAAGGGCCATAATTTGCTGATACTGGCATAGCACACGCTTTCAGACATTTTGAATAAGTAATGCACTGGGGCCAAAAAGACCTGCGATTCGGACCTAACTGCAGTTGCTCCTTCAACCACCATTTTTTTGTAAGCCGTTCGGCCACCGCACCTGAGTCCACCTCCGGCCGTCTTGACCATGATGGGAGAGGAGGAAGAGGGTGCAGTAGCGAAATTATTTCGTCTGACGACGGGTTGGTGTCACCAGCTCGAAAATTCACGAGTACAACTCGATTTTTTCCGACGAGCCTTCTGTCTTCGTCATATATATATACTGTGAGAGACCTATCTCAGGAAATGTTGACTGAAATTCTGAAACGTGTTTTCGATTAGGAAGGATTACTTAGGCGCGGTTGTAATAGTAATTATCTTGCGGCATAATCATATAGCATTTCGGACTCGGCAGGATGTCGGCTTTTAAACAAACTGCTTTTTACTCTCCTGTAAAAAACATACTCGGTAAAAAATGACTACATAAGTAGCATGCATTTTTCTCATTGATTTTCGATGGTCTTGCAAATTCAAATATATCTTATAGAAGCCATAAACAAAAATATGCTTTCTTTCAGTCAATTAATAGACAATCACGTCTTCTTTATATTTTTTATTCAAGGAAGGAGTATAATTAGGTTTTAAAAAAGTTTTCCAATTCCCGAATAATTTTGAGCCAGATCTGCCATTGCATTAGCGTTTAGCGATTTCAGTTTACAAGGCGCATGCTTTCTACGTAAAGAAAATCACATATTCCTCTATGCCTTTAGGAAGATACCATATAGAGTTTATAAAATGTTGTAATGGATCCGGACTATGTTGTACATTTCACGAGGAGCTGTCATAAACTGCCAGGTACGATGCTATGTGAATGGACATTGCGCGGTCTTTAAAAAATCTCATAATTAGACATTTTTTAAAAACCTAATTATACTGCTTTTTGAATAAAAAATATAAAGAAGACGTGATTGTCTATTAATTGACTGAAAGAGAGCACATTTTTGTTTATGGCTTCTATAAGATATTTTTGAATTTGCAAGACCATCGAAAATCAATGAGAAAAATGCATGCTACTTATGTAGTCATTTTTTACCGAGTACGTTTTTTACAGGAGAGTAAAAAGCAGTTTGTTTAAAAGCCGACATCCTGCCGAGTCCGAAATGCTATATGATTATGCCGCAAGATAATTACTATTACAACCGCGCCTAAGTAATCCTTCCTAGTCGAAACCACGTTTCAGAATTTCAGTCAACACTTCATGAGATAGGTCACTCACTGTATATATAATGGTAGGGGGCGCTCACCGATCCATTGGCTTCCCGAAGTAAACAAGCTTCGTATAGTCGATAGGGGTCACGAACAGGCAGCCACCTACCAGGCCGAAGTCGACCAAGCTATGATAACAGAGGGGAGACGACAGAGTCTGGGGGGTAGATTGATACAGCACTGTTTCGGGCTTGTTTGCCTTCATTCAGCCAATCATAACCCTGACCACCAACTGGGACCGGAAACACAAACATGCGCGCAGACACACCTGGAGCAGCTGGTCCACCACTGGGGTCTACCAGATAGGTCATAAGCACTTTATCGAACCGGAGTTCATCAGTGCCTCTCCACCTGCCATTCTCTGTCGCTGCAGATCGGGTATTTATTCACTCAGGAATAGGCGCACACCGATCCATTGGCTTCACGAAGCAAACAAGATCCGTATGGGTGGCAAAGGTCACGAACAGGCAACCAATTACCAGGCCGAAGTCGGCGCTCACCGATCGTTCTTACGGAACTCACTCGTTCCGTTGTGCCTTAAGGGCTCCTTCTCGAGCCCAACCAGCAGCCGCGCGGCGGCGCATGATATATAGGCAGAATGGTATTACCGACAAAGACAAGGGAGACTGGAATGGCCATTTCTGGCTTATTAGCCATCGTCAGCCATCCATACCCAACCCCGAAGTGTGGAACACCTGTGAATCGATCTCGCGGCCTGTTGGTTACAAGTCCAACGCCTCTAACCACTGAGCCACGGGCTCGTTGTCCTGTCAGTTAGGGCCAGACTGCGCGCTCATTGTTTGGAGACACCTATATACGTGATCGTTAGGCTAAAAATACGGGACGACTGAAACAACCGCTGTTTCAAACTTGTGCATGCATGCAGATACCTAACTGATGGGTTAGCGGTTTCACCAGTCAATTTTTTTGAGAGGCAGTCTAGTACTTGTTACATAGGAATGAATCGACACCGATCTGTTCATCCGTGCGGCGCAAACAAGTTCCCTCCACCAGCTTATATTTCGTGGCCATCCACTTCCGCCCTATTCCTGTCGAATTTTTGTTCCCTTTTGTGCTCAAAGGTGCGAACCGGATCGCACGGAGAGACGATGTATAAATACGACCGATCTCCCCACAGAGCAACAGATCTCGGCATTCACCGACTTATCCATTACTGAGGATCTTAACGTCCCACTGTTAAAAGGTCCTCGCTCTTTCGTGCAGCCATTCCGTTTCGTTCTTTAGCACCTCGTGATTTCCATTAGGATAGGGATATTTTTGGCTGTTATGTGGGTTGAGAGTTGGACTGCCTTGGTCTCTTTTGCTTCTGATCCCTCCCCGCCCCTGGCGTACCCAGCGCCCCGAAATATGTCACCCTCTACCGAGCCAGTTCGCGGTCTATACTGATACAAGAAGTACTTGCTTACCATAGAATGGGACCACACGAGTCCGACATGTTATTGTGCCATTGCATCAGACCTCATTTTTCTTTACTTGTTCTCGCTTAAATTAACAGATTCCAGCAGTCGGAGTCCCGCCTTCAATCGGCTGTCACCCACCCTCAATAAGTCCTCTTTTCCCCTGAACTCCATGGGCCTCCATGACTTGCATGACCGGGGCTTTGGCCGAGGAGGAGGCCGTCAAGGATTATCGACCCTCAATGGCCTTACTTCGTCGTCGTGTCGACTGGAGGCCGACAACACACAGTCTGCAAGTACAGCCACTTCTTCTCCGTCATCTGCGGCAACCTCCGCCGCCAATGTCCCACACAAACGCCTTCGAACCGCTCTTCTGGCCGATCGTCCCGGTGCCCTGTTGGAGAACAGGACAAACGGTCGTGCCTACAGTGACGTCACAGCTCCCTGGATGTCGTCAGCAGCCTCAGCCTCCATGACCCGTAGTCTTGTGATCTCTCGTGACATTATCACCTCCGCCAGCGCCGAATCTCATGGGTCACAGACTTCTGCTGCTATCGTCAATAATGAGGGCCCACTCCCCAGAGTCACCGTTTCACCCTCCACATCCACCTCCAGCCGCCAGACTGACTCATCAGCAGTGGAAACTCCTTCCACTGCTGGTGGTGGAGGCTCGCCAACCCATGTGAAGCCGCCCTCCACAGCTCCCAGGTTACCGGCAAAGAAGCGGAAAATTGATTGGTCCTTTTCAGATGATCCCCCAGTTATGCCACCTCTGAAGGATCGAGACGGAGCTAAGCTATCTCTTCCATGTGGCTTGGATGGCGCACAGCGATTGACTGGGACTCCCCAAGGCAGCGGCCTGCTACAGTCAGCAGCCGCCGCAGGAGCTGTGGCACCGCTGATTGTGGACAGACCTGCTGTCGGACCAGGTAGTGAAGCGAGCGAGCGACCGTTCCCTGCTCTCAGTCAGTCGCATCTACTTTTGATCGAACAAGCGCGCCGAAAACAGTCAGAGCCTTTCCTTCTGCCTTCTTCCTCCTCTGTATCGGGCCTCTGTCTCGATGCGGCCCTACATACTAGCCGTAGTCCTCCTACCCATACGCCAGCTTTAGGTGAGCTCTCGGGCACACGTGCCCCTCCCTCGACCACCACCACCGCCACAGAGGTGCCACCTCCGATCTCAACCCACTTGCCAGCCCCACAGCCGCCGAGACGGAAGCTCTCCTACCCCAACCTCCTTGACCACCTGTCTTTCAACTATGACGCCAGTCTCTTCCTGAGCCAACTACAGCGGCAGCGCAACCTTGAAGCGGAACTGCAGGGAAGGATTCGTGACGAATCCCACAGGGAAGAATATGGTACGCAAATCTGTTCTCCTACATTTTGACGCCTCTTATTCTCTGACACAACAGCTCGTAGGTACAATATTCTTGACTGGCCTTCAGTACTTGAGAATTGCGTGTCTGCTAGTGCCGTTGGTTACGATTGGCCCTGTGGCTTAAGCACTGAAGGTGGAGTTAGATGGTGTTCAGATTGGCAAAGTTGAAAGATCGGTCTTTCTCTTCTCTCGCTGCCTCGGCCTCTCGAGGGCTGGTTGGCAGGCGTTTTATCTTTGTGCTTTGTGAGTCACCGCTTCGTCGGGGGGGGGGCGATCGAACCTTCGTCTGGTGGTCGGTCTGGTGGTTCCTCTTCCTCGCCGAGTAGACTCCGTCGGCCTATGTATGGCCTTTGTGGTTACTTGGCCGTGAGCTCTACGGACGTGATGACGTAAGACTTTGGAGACTGCAGGAAGGTCTAGATGCCTGTTGATGGAGTTGGCACCGGGGTACCAAGCCGTGAGTGCTAGCCGTCCTGCTTTTGTGTTGCCCCGTCCTAAGATGGTAGCTCTCTGGAGATCAAAAGTATGCCCTGTTTCTCCAACGTGTGTTGCTAGTTGGGAGTTTGGGTATAATCCCCGAGTGGCCGATTTGCGCTCTTGTAGGCGGGTCTGCAATTTCCACCCGGTTTCCCCAACATAATTTCAGCCGCCCTCATTGAAACTTATTTTGTAGACAACTCCTGAGATTTCAGCGGGTGGCATTGTGTCCTTAGGTTGCGTGGAAGGATGGTTCTCCTTCACTGGCTGCACTTGTGATGTCTGACAATTCTTCTAGTTATAAATAGAATACGAAACCCATCCCATCTTCAATTGCTTGCTTTCTTCGCACACACATATATATATACATGAATTTGAAAACAGGCATCCCAAGGATCATAATTCGGAAGAAATAAGTCCTTGGGAAAAATAAAGATTAGCCAATCAGAGCATTACGTCAGCAGGAGTGACAGGGCAAAATCGATTTTTTCGGCATGTTTAAATGTTAACTGTTTTGAATACTCACTTCACGTCTGAGGACGACTTTGGGAACCAAGATCGAAAATTTACAATAAGACTTGTTTATCTTTCCCAAAGAGCTTATTTCTTTCGAGACATATATATAGTGCTGAAAGTACGTTCACCGGCCGGGTTATGTGACATTCTCGTCTCGCTATGCCTTGTAGATCAGTTTAGAGACCTCGCCGGCATTCGCACAGCGATTAGTAACATGTACATAAGGAGCGTACCGACAAAGACAAGGAAAATCAGGATGGTCATTTTGGGCTTGTTGGCCGTCGTCAGCCAGCCCTACCCGAATCCGGGTTTGTTGAACCTGAATCCCGGATCCGCGTTCTTCTGTCACCGAGTGTTTTTGAGCTCAACACTCACTGGTCATCTCCATCTAGCCCTCCGTAACACCGAACCAAGGTCCCAGGACTGGTTATGCCGAAGTGGTTTGCATTAGACTAAAGGGGATATTATACACTGAAGCCCACTGTCCATTTTGTCGTGTCACTATCCCAACACCGAAAAGAATTTGCGGTTTTGTGTTTTAGAGACCGGATTATCGCTGATCTGTCCGACGCCTTGCTTGGCAAAGTTTCCAGTATGCGGCGAGAAAAGACACGACAGCTCTGATGTCGCATTTGACATCGTATTTGCTTGCTATTTGATACACTACTTTTTCCACGCGACGATCGTTGGATTTCGTTTGCATGCAACTATGAATAACATGGTCTACCTAATGGGAGTGTCATACTGGCTGTTGATCTCCTACTGGTCTTCTGTACTTGTTCTTTTTCTCACGTGTTTTGTGTGAAGGTCATGGACTTTCGTCCCGAGTGGGTGATGTGACATTCGAAAGCAGTGAAGTAGGAAAGAAGGTGCATGACGAAGGTGGGAAAGACATATGCGATTGTTTCACGATTGTATGTAATCATCAGACTGCCTCAGTCATTTCCCACATTGAACCAAAGAAATCTGCCCCTGTACTGTCATTGTTGCTTAAATCAGCTGGACAGGGAAGCCTTTTCTGCCATCCGATGTCATCCAGGCCGGTAGGTTAGCTTCGGGTGTTCCACACTTCGGGGTTGGATATGACTGACTGACGGCGACTAATTAGCCAGAAATGGACATTCCAGTCTCCTTTGTCTTTGTTGGTAATGCCATTCTGCATGTATATATATATATATATATATATATTCAGCTGGACAGGGAAACCTTTTCTGCCATCCGCGGTCATCCAGGCGGGGAGGTTGGCATCACTCCTCTCACCCCGCCGCGGTTCATGCTTTTGGTGCTCTTTGGAAATGGACTTCATGACTCGGGTTGACGCCTTGTAGTGACATTTGTAATGAGTTGCCTACGAGACAGTGCACTTTTGACAATGATCATACACACGAGTAGGGCGTGTTTGAGTAGTAGTAGCAGCAGCAGCCACTTCTCCCCGCCTTCCGACCCCCACCACCTGCTCCACTGTCACATTATCTTCTAAACATTACCGCGCCGCGCAGCGCCGTGCAGGACGATGCATTACGCTGGGCCCCGATGACCTTTCGCTCGTCTTTTTTTCAGATTTCCGCGCGCGTTTTTCAGGCTGTCACGGTGTATGTTGTTACGTGCCTGCTGCACTACTCTCCTGCTGGGTGGAGTCGACTTTTTTTGCTACAGACCTCGAAGATGATCACACTCCTGCGTGCGTGTCTGTGCGCGCGCCCCTGCCTCTCTGTCATTGTGTCGTCTGTTGCGGTTTTTTGTCATTATGTCACTGGCTAGCGCCAGGTTTCGGGTTGATTGAACTGTCTACTGTCTGCTCGCAAATGAGCGCGCACGGGCTTGTGATCACTTATCGCGCGCTCGCGCGCTCATCCAGACGTGATGTCTGTACGCTCCTCTGGTTGTTCTCCGCTACTACCTGCCACTCTGGATACGCACGCATTCTAAGGTCATCCAACCACCTCAAGGACACTGAGCGCTCATTTGCTCGACCGTGCCATCTCCCTCAGAAAGATTCCTTGGCGTGATTTGGTCCCGTCGCAGCCCCACTTGAGTGATACCATATGATTAACTTTCTAAAAAAAATTGGTAGATACGAAAAGGTATCACGTATTTTCACCTTCCTTACCATATAAATCCAGAGAGTGACTGTGTCACGGCGAAAGGAGTGCTCATACGCTAGCCTTGGTCACTTCAGTTAACACGCGATCCCCTGTGGGTGCTTCGAACCCTGTCTGTGCTCTCTTCCTTATTCTAATCCAGCGAGTGGCCAAGTAGACCTGCTAGTGGAATTGTTCCGACGGTGTGGAACTCCGTTGGCTCCACTGCAAGTAGCTAGTAACTGCGAATTACCACGTGGTACCCTCAGTGGCTTTCCAGTTGGGATTCCTCCCCCCTCCACTTATCCTCTTAGTCCAGTGAGTAGCTGTGTCGGCGGAGGGAGTATGTATACGCCACTTCCACTCTCCTCCCTGCGCGTGCTTCGAGCTCTGCTAGAGCTCTTTTTCCCTTCCTAATCCAGCCAGTGGCTAAGTTGGCATGTTAACTAAAACTGTTCTGGTAGGCCAAGTGGAGCTGCAGAACCAAATCTCGGCGATTCCTTCAATAAAACTACTTAGAAATAAAGGCGTCACATTTCCCCACCCCTTCCCCCCTCCTACGGAGTGAAACTGAGGTAGTGGGGGTGGCGTCTACCCATCTGATCCGATTGTAGCAAGAAACGCAGACACCTCTTTTGACTATAGGGGTTCGTATTTCGTCCCGCAATCAGGCTCGAGTCTGTGAACACCGCCCACACACATAATTCTTGTGAGAATGGCAAATCAGTCCAAGGAACTAAGACTGCTGGTTGACCAAGGAAGACCGAATCCGCTGCTCCACACTCCCTCAGATTTACGAGACACTCAGACCTTACTGATAAATAGGTTGTGGAATATGAGGAAGCAATTACAAGGCTCTCTGACAGCGAGTCTACCTCATACCTAACGGTTTTTAAAATCGGAGGTTCAACCCGACTAGGAAAATCTTGATTGGTGCAAATCCTTAACCGAAGTCCTAAGAGGAATGCAGGACCAAGTAGTGGAGGTTGTAGCTTGAGCATGACTTTAAAAATTATATCTATAAAGTACGTGTAGCTTGCTCCCACTGTTGATCCTTGAGTCAGAACTTGTGAAGCGAGTGCTGAAGGCATCGTCGGGTGCGAATCCTCGCCAAAATAAGACCACCTTACTTCGAAAGGGGGAAACTGGTGGTGGAAGACTCCACCAAAGTAGACCCCCGAGTTAGAGATGTTGGAAACTCCGGAGGTTCTACAGTTGGGAAACGACTACCCTCGAGTACGTCACTTGTCCTCTTCTCACAAGCTCAAAAGGTGAACGACGGAGGCTGTTCATTTCTTAGTGTCAAACGACCTCGAGGCATCACGAACAGCAAATCACCAACAACACGAACTTTGTGCTGACGCATCCAAGTCTCCTATCCTAGATCTCGTGCATCAGCTGAACCGGCTTTAGGAGAGCGATGGCTGTTATGGGGCAAGTGCCTAGAGAGGAGACTGACTTGGAGATGGCTGGAGACTCCCAGTCGCTGCTCGGGAATGCCGCAACCGTCTTTATTCTTTAGCGGAGACTGAGGAAACTCTGCCAGTGCATATGTAGAGGGGGGTTTCTTCTAGACGGTTACGAAGCCATTGCTAACTCGATGTTGTATTTGCCATCTAACTGTTTAACACGCCATCATCAAAGCCACTCGTAGTCATCTTGCGAGGACCTGACACAGTATCGAGCAGATTGCGAACCGGAATGAAGGAACAGTACACTGACGAAGGTCTTGACGCCTAAGGTCTCAGCAATGGGTGATGTCCAATTTGTCTGGACGAACCTTACATTTGTTACCTACTTGTTAGATTATTGTTTCGCTCACCCCGGCAGAAGTTTCGGGTAATTGAATTCATTCAGCCTTGCTTTACTGCGTGGTACGGACTTGTGAAGACCTCTGCTTGTCAGTATTTTTTCCCCATAAACTTGACTAAGTCGAGTCCAGCCCTTCTCTGCAGTTGCCCCAACGGGCCCGCCCGTGCGGAGGAGAATTTCGCCCTGTTATATCGGTTGCCTTTCTGTTTGGCAACAAACCAGAACTCACTTTGACCCAACTGCGAAAAACTCGATGCCTCGGTGGGATTCGAACCCACAACAGCAAGGAGTGGGGCTTTAGTACAACCAACGCTCTAACCATCTGAGCTACGAGGCCCCACCGGGCGACGTACCAGAGGTTGCAGTAAGTTGGGCGGACAAACTTGGCCCAAATGTGATTAAACTCGCGCTGTCCGGTGGGGCCCCGTAGCTCGGATGGTTAGAGCGTCGGCTGTATTAAAGCCTTCCCCTTACTGTCGTGGATTAGAATTCCACCGAGGCACCGAGTTTTTCGCAGTTGGGTCAAAGTGAATTATTTGAAATCTGTCATAACACGTATGAAAAGACAAAACTACCGAACCGACGGTCGGCCACATCGAACGAGACAATGGGCTGGTTGAGTTTAACTCTAGCTACTGTCATGTTGCGAATCTCCATTCCTCTCGCCATGTGCAACTGCTTGGTCATCTGTTTTTTTCCGCTCCAGCCTGAACAAGAGCAAAACTCGAGAGGAATGGCATATGCAGTCTGCGTAGCGAAGGGCATAAAGTCTGTGTGACTGGGGCAAAGGGGATTTGACGGGACTAGACTTCGGGGTGGTCTGGTGTTACAGACTCCTGGGAAACAGGCGCCCATCGGCAGGGGTCGAAAGGCACCTTTGTGGCCTTGTCTGGTTGATAGACGGCTGCGTACTGAGCCATCAGTAGGGATAAGGTCTAACATGGACTTTGCCCAGCTGCCCGAGGTGTCCGGATGTTTGACCCCCTTGTTGCCATGATGGAGTCGGGTGTCCGTATACTATTAGACCCACGGCGCTCAGGCCATGCGGTGTCTGCGGCTGATCAGTTATAGGTCTCAATGAGCGTGGAAATGTTTCCCGCTAGCAGTCACCCGGTTGCTGCCTCTTCCGCATCTCAATTATCGTAGCCGACAGCGCTTGTGCTCGACTCCAGTCGGCAAGATGAGGCCTGAATATTGAGTTGGTGGCGCTCTACCTGGGGCCTGTTGGCGACAGAGAATAGAACAGCCCTCAGAGAGAGGCCTGTCTCAATTTTAAAGCCCTCATTGCCTCCATAATTGCTTGGCAATTCTTGGAGCCGCCGGGCACATGTATGTGTACCCCCCCTGAACTATGGCGCGAGGCCACCTGTAATACGCGAGTCGTCCTAGCAGGCGTCTTTTAGGAGAAGAAACGTGGTTTTATTAAATACATAAAAAGTAAGGAATCATATTTATGCTGCATGTTTGTTTGAATGCAGTAAAAGGGCACTTTGTAGGAGGATAGTTCGGGTTGTGAGGGACACACCGGCCAATAAAAATGCTCCCTTCATTATCTTGCTGCCCTAAGGAAGGGTCACTTTCTCCTACTGTTTATAGAGATTTCTCAGCCAGGGCTGTTACCGCTTGTTTCGTCGGATTTTTTCCACAGTTGTTCGACCAAAGACGAATATCACAGACAGTCCCTTGTCGGTGCTCGCCTTCTGTATATGCTGCGGGAGCTCCCCCCGGGAGGGGAGGCGCTAGATTAAGCTTCGTCGCACAACGGCTCGAGCATTTGCCGTTATTCGATCAATGAACTCAATGTCATCGTATTGTCCTGTTGTCCCGAGTGCTACGCCTCCTGGTTGAGCAAGCAGTTGGCACACGTTGTTTTGACTGTGAGAACGGTTGCATTATGGGAAAAGGCGTCACATTATTGTCGTTGCCTCCATGAAACAGCTAGGTCTGAAAAACTGCGGTCCAGACAAAAAAAACCTCATTCGATTCACTGGGCCCAAACTTTCATCCGACTTCCATGCGCGCGAAGGTGTGCCCACTCTTGCCATCGAATTTGGACCTCGAACCTGGAACCTTTCATTTTTGGTGACAGAGTTTTATCTCTGTGAGGCCGGAGATAGTACCCTTGGCAACAATCGGGAGATGGCACCCAAAAAAATTCGCCTAACCAAAGCAGCCTGTCTTACGGAACAGGTGGTAATAGGGGTTTTCTGGGTGGTGGCTGGTCGGGATGTACGCTACTAGCTGACGGAAAGTCTTATTTGAACAGGTGAATGATCGAAGTTGGCCCGCTCTCCGTTCCGTTATTACAAAATGGGTCGCCAAAGGCAGTATAATGGTAACGGACGAGTGGAGGGCGTATAATCGTCTTCCCTCAGAAGGTTATCTACATTTCTCTGTTAACCACTCAAAGAACTTCAAGAACCCTACCATCGGACGGCACAACAATGCCATTGAGGCATACTGGAGTAGACTGAAAAGGAAACTCCACGAGCGAGGCCCTGTATGTGGTCGAGCTGTGTGGGCTCACACAGACGAAGTACAGTATCGTCCTTGGTTTGGCCTCAATGCCATGTCTTTGACAGATGACTGGGAACTGTTCATGTCCCGTGTTGTGCAGACTTATCCTATTTAAAAGTGATTTTGTTTTGTAATAAACTGCCATAATGCGAATGTATGCCGTATATCCAGGTGTACGTGTGTAACAATGCGGAAGGTTGGGCAACAGTGACCATCGTCCATGTAACCTCCTGCGATGTACGTTCGGCCAGCCCATGTTCGGCCGTCGCGGAAAGTCCAAGTATTGCGTGAAAGTAGGCCTGCAACCGCTGATATAGCCTGAAGGCATTTGAGTCCACTGTTAAAGGTACTATTTCAAGGTAACGGATTTTTTGGGTGCCATCTCCCAATTGCCACCGTACCCTTAATTCGCCATTACTCACGCCATCAGAAAGCGAATTAAAGTCACCCAGCATTCCGAGGGCAGTTGTTGTGTACTGTTATGGCGAACGAGCCCTTAAACTCCCCGAACGCCCACTCTGTGATTTATCTCCTTCACAATTTTGGTCAGATGTGGTTATGCAGCCGCACCTGAGGTAAACAAATCCCAGCCGCCCGTAGTACGGGACCGGTGGTAATAGGGGGTTTTACAGGTGGGGCCGGGGGACGCACCGGCGACGGGCTCAGGTAATTGTATGCAAAAAAAGCTATTGGGAATGCGCAGTTGTACTTTGGGTGGTTGAGAAATAGTTGCCCTAACCCCAAACCTTAACCCTAACAGTATTGTGTCCATAAGTGAAGAAGAAGAGTCGAGCACCGGAATACTTCGTTTTTTATCCTGAGCTTTCAGACTCGTACAGGAGTCCATCGTCGGAGGTAGTGACAGAAACAGGACAAGCGGCAGTTATAAGGCACGTAGACCCAATCATCGACCGACGTCGCACGCCCGGAGGTGACTACGCAGGGCTCTGTACGCCGGCGCCAGATCGATAAATCGATTGACCGAGTTCTCATCCGAGGCCCAGGCTTCAATCAATTCTTGGCCTGTTTTGTTTCCGGCGTGGGCAACTATTTTGGTGGCTGCGAAGTCAAACTCGTGACCCATTTCGTAGGTGTGGGCGGCCACTTGTGATAATGCGTCGCCTCGCCGCACAGCCAGCTTATGTTCGTGTATGCGCGATCCGAGCATGCGTCCAGTCTGTCCTGTATAGATACAAGGACAATTTTGACACGGAATACGATACACTACTCCAGATTGCTCTTCAGGTTTTAACCGGTCTTTGATTTTCATGACTCAATTGCGCATGGTGGCTTTGGGGCGGTGTGCGATTCCAACCTCTAGCTCCGCAGCAATGCGCTCGGTCGCTTCTGAAACACCCTGGATGTATGGCAGAGTATGCCATATCGTCGGTGGCGTTGATGTTTGAGTTCTCTGGTGGCGACCGCGTAGGCAGCGACTTATGAATGCCCTCGGATAGCCATTTTGCACAAACTGGTCGCGGAGATAACGGGCCTCACTTGCTCTGTCCTCCGGTTTGCTGCAATGAGTTTGGATGCGTTTGAAGAGCGTCTTCACACAGCTTCGTTTGTGAGCCACCGGATAGTTGCTGTGAAAACTGAGAAGCTGTGTGGTGTTCGTTGCCTTCCTATAAACCGTCGTTTCAAGTTCACCGTTAAGGTTTCGTCTGACGAGCACATCCAGGAACGGCAACTGCTGTTCCTGTTCTTCTCCCCTCGTGAATTTTATATCAGGGAAGACTGCGTTGAGCAGGCTGTGGAAATGTTGAAGCATGTCCTTCTTTACGATGACGAACGTGTCGTCTACGTAACGGCGCCAAAACACCGGTTCATGTTGGATGAAAGCAATCTTTTCTAACTCCTGTAGGACCAGTTCTGCCACCAAACCGGAGACCGGTGAGCCCATTGGGGTTCCCTTGATTTGTTCATAGGTCTCTCCCGCAAAAGTGAAGAAAGTTTGTTGGCAGAATTCAGACAGCCTCATGAGGTGTTCAATTTTGAGGGCATTCTGAGTCTCATCGTATTGTGTCCATCAGATGTAGCTACATAGCCACACCTGACCACAATTTTGACTAGGAAACAATCTGGGATAATGTAGTCATAACTTTAGAGATTTTTTTAATTCAGTTGCAAAACAAGAATCCTCAGCCCGATGAAACACCACTTTGCAAGTTTTGCAGACTCCCGTCCGCATTTTGTCGTTCTAATTCAGGCATGACATCGGTGAATGCTGCGGACTACAAACGATCCCTATCCTTTCGTACTGCACCTCCGTGCTCTCCATCAAAGCAGACCATTGTTTACGCCTCAAGAAATATGTCTTTTATACGCAATAATTTTTACATTCTGTCTGCCTTGGCCTGTTAACCATCGTCCATTTGCTGGGTATCTGTGGGCCTTAGCCGACTTCACAGATTCTTCATCGCCGCTAAATAGTGGGTGACCATCGCACTGGGAATTGTGATGCCTGACCGCCCTGCCCATTTTGAACTTGATAGCTCTCAATCTAAGGCTCCTTACATGTCCTGGGGTTTAAAGTCCTGGCACACTCCTAAATGATGCGAACACGACTCATTAGCAGTCGCGTCGTTCCTGTGACGAAGCGCCATGACATGGCGGCGTGCGGTCCTCTATAGCCACGCGTCCCCCCGGAGGTTCCAGAACTTTCGGTGTTCTGCGCGTGTCATGCGATTAATCACGCCCCCCCGTGCTGCCGTGTGCATCAGCTGGTGTCTCCAGGTTCGCCGCATATGCGTTTGTGCGCGCGTGCGCACGATGGCCTGTCGGACGCCTTTTTTTACTCCATTTGGCCACGCGCAAACCGCTGCCCTTCTCGCGCCGATCTCACTACCCCTGCTGCCGTTTCCTCCGTCTCTGTCGTCAGCGTCTCGCACGCCGCTCCGTCTTTCCCGCCCTTGCCTCGACCTCGAAATCGCAAACGTGTCAGAGGACGCCTGGTGGCGCTAGCCTTTTCAGCGTCTGTGCCACGCAGTCG